CAATAAGAATACATGGTAGCTCAATCAGGCCCCCAAGTAGAAACTCAAACAAGCCCCGCTTGCTTCAAGACTATTCCGCAATCTCGGTCACTTGAATGAGACTTCATCAATGCTATTGAATTTCAAAGTCCTTCACAGTTACGTCCAGGGCATTGTGATCATTCGACCACAGCTCTGGGGGTACATCTTGAACATACGCATCTCCAATGAGCCTATATCGTTCGCCTTCGGGTCTGAGGACGAAACATAGCGGGCTTCCGAACAGCAAGACAACTTCATCTCCAGGCTTTGTGCATTTGGGCCCGACGCCGACGCGAAGACCGTCTGTAACAAAGAAGCAGCGGCCGGAAAACAATGCATAATCCAAGCTGTCGACCAAGGGCGACGTACATCCGGGCAGTTGAGTGGCAATACGCAGAAAAAGCTCGAGGACGGAGTCGAAAAGTCTATTGCCGGAGGTTGTTTCGACAAAGAGTGCTTTGTCAGGAAGTACTTGCAGAATAAGTGCACACCATAGATGATAGAAATGATCTGGCGCTGGCGATTTGGGCTCTCCTCGATTACTCGTGTCCAAGTCAAGTATAAATGCCCTCCAAGCTCTACGCTGCATATCCTTTGGCAGTGACAGATAGAAATTGATAAGTTCAAGGAATTTATCTGCGAGCAGTGCTGTTATCTTTGTTTGATCGTTTTCCTCATTGATCGAACTTCTGTGAAATCCTGCCTCGAATGGTCCGACCACGCGGTCAAGAGATCCAAGGCTAATGCCTCGAGCTTTGAGAACGCTCCCACCCTCCATGAAGGATACTGACGCAGGCAGCCGTCCGGTTTGATCACCGAGTGAGACACACTCGAAAGCGATTCCATCCCATACTTCACTATAGATCTCAGGAAGCCAAGATGGACCGAATGAGTTCGATAAATCGCGATTTCCATGTAGACAATGCAGGTTTCTGTCCTGGTCGATACAGGTTTTGGTCCAATTTGAGTAGACTTCTGACACACTTAGCGTGTAGTCAGGAGTAACCAAGTGGTCTTCGGCGAGCTCCAAGAACGCATATAGCTTATCCCGTGCATCTGTCGCCCGAAATCTGCGGGACATTCTTTGCAGTTGACTTATAGATCGTTTTACACGAGACCCATCATTCCCAATGAGAGTGCCATCGAGAGTCCATAGAATGTTAAACATTTCCTCGACTGGCGGCGCACCATATAGTGATAATATAGATAGAGGAGGTAGTGATATATGCTCCCTCCACCGTGGGTTTGCCCTTATGATGCCAAACATGTAGACAAAGCCGAAGAATAATGGAAGCGGTGTCCACAAAGATCCACACCCTACAAGGCATCTGTTCTCGGATATATTCTTGAATATATCGGCAGATAAAAACAACTCCTGGATGATCCAGACTCGATGCCAGTACGGGCGCTCACAGATAGCCCAGATGGCATCCCAATTCATGGCCGAAAGTTGCAGTCCCATATTCTTTTGTAAGTCCACCGGGGAAAGCCCCCGGCAGTACGCAAGACCGCCATCGGCACAGAGAATGGGCAAAAGGGCGAAGCCAATCTTCTCAATGGCTTGCATTGCCTCCTCACTTTTCGGCTCTGGTGGACCGAGCCAAGCAAGAACTGAATTTGCTGACGAGAAGATTTCGCCCATGCGCTGGACTTGACTGCTCTTTTCTTCCGTGTCCTCTTGATCGATACATAGGGCGTCGACCCATAACACCCGAGGTTCGTCCAGCTTACGCAAATAACGAAGCGCGATCTCCAAGTTGGTGGTGATGCCGATACATTCATGGTTGACAGTGATCGGGCGTAAGTCGCCGGCATCCCCCCAAGTGTATGACAAGGCCTCGAAATATTCGTCTTTTGGATGAGAAGCAATGTTCAGATCGCAGACAAGCTCATGGTCCCAAGATCCCGGCTGTAAGATGAGAAGTCGAAATTCTGATTCTTTGATCTTCAGCCGGCGATAAGGCTCACGTTTTGAGTCCATTTGACAGGCTGGCTCAAATCTCAGTATACCTAGGTAAACATCTACTCTGTACACCACGAAGATGAGATCAAGATAATGCTGAAAGGATGTTTCAGCCGCGGGGTAAGAATAGTATCCATCACGTGATTGGCTTCGTTGACTATACCATCTCCACGAGGTTGTTCACAGATATTCAGAACTGGTCGTGTGAAATTGGCCAGCTAATTTGCTGGCAAGCCAAGAACGAAACCCAGAACATGGATCTTGCATGTCATTTCAAAAGCAAAATGTTTTTCAACTGCATACTTGTCATCTTGGCCTTGAGATCTGGAATCTTGGCGGTCGCGACTGGAGCTCATGCGCCCCAATGTTGGTAAAAAAGGAAGAAGAGGAAAAGCAGCACCGAATTCCTCACCACTATCTACCTCTGTGGCTTGGTCAAGAAGTAGCTCTTCAGTTTTGACTTATGTGTTTCCGTATCGCGGGAGCCATTGCGACGATGCCTTCTGAGGTAATCGCTGTCGGCTCGTGAATATGTGAATGTCACACTTGTCGAGGTGATCCACATAGTGACAAAAATAGCACAGACTCGGACTTAACGGCCAGTGGTACGTGCGAATAATCATACATGCGAAAGCATCCAAAGCCATGAGTACGTCCATGATGAGATTGAATGCATTTGTCATGTCGCGGGCAACAAGGATTTCGTAAACTCTCCGTGGAAGAATGCTCGACAGACGCGAACTACAACATGGTGCGATGCCAAAACCGGAATATTGTAGATAGAGTAAGCAGACTGTTGCCGGTTTTAGCATGGCTCCCCAATCTGTCTACACTAAAACTTAGGATCGTCATTCATCTCATCGCGTGAAGGGACACGAGAGGGATGAAATCTTACCTCACATTCGGAGCTACGATCCTTGGTCTTGTCGACTAAGTTTTAGGGCTGAGACGCGCTGAGGCGACTTCTAGCGGTGCTACCCGACCATGGGACGTAACGTGGCAGCGTATATTTCCAGTGTTATGGTTCCTTCAGGCACGAGACTGAAGAGCGGCCGCTTGGAAATGGTTGAATTCTGCTGCGCAGTCACCCGTGTATGTTTTTTGCACTCTTTATAGCTAAATACCTTGCACGGTCGTAAATGGCTTACACCTGACACTGAGCTTGAAGGTGCTGCGCCTTGGCTCTATTCTGGGTGTTGTATCAGTTGTTATAGGTGTTTTCATCACTGACGAGAAAAAAATCCTGTGTCAAGGTGCGCAATCATGTTTTGAATTATTGTGTGCCATTTCCCCCAGACTTTTCAAATCGCATGGCATCAAGATTGTATTAGAATGAGTAGGGTATGATCCCGCCACCTTGGCTTTTGCTGGCTTGCCATGTTACCATTTCAATGTGTAGCGGCCCGTCGTAAGCCGGCATTGCCCCAGATTCGGGAGCGAATCACAGTATTTAGCTACGGCTTTGGCTCTGCGCCACCACCCTTTATGCAGGCGCCGTACAGTCAGGGCTTCGTTCTAACGTCACATACGGGCCGCGTTCTAGCTGGCTGCGCAACCACCTAAAGATGATAGCGCTTACATCTAGTCTGAACCCGAAGATCATCGCCTCGTGTTTGATCATGCAATGACGGAGTAAACAATTAGAATAATAGATAAAAGGGGCCAGTTCCTCACTCATTAAAATAGTATTCTCAATCATCACATCTTCATTCAATACAATCAATAATAGCTATACCACAAGCTCCGTCTTGCACTTTCGCTATATCAAACCACAATCGCTCATAAAAATAACAACTCACAAACACCAAAATGCGTTCCACTTCCATCCTCGCCTCTGCTGCCGCCTTCGCCGGCATGACTTTGGCCGCCCCGGTTGAGTCGACCCCAACAGCCACCATCATCGTCGAGGCGTCGCACGGCGGCGCCGGCAGCGGCCTGACCAACACCACCATCTGGGTGCCCATCGGCCCCGTCTACACCGACTCGGACGCCCTGTCCGAGGTCTCGACGCTGTACCTGACGGCCGCCACCGAGGTCGACGTCACCAGCGTCACCTGCACGCCGTACCGGGCCACCGACGGCGAGGGCACGGGCGGTCTGCCCTTTACCAGCAGCCAGCCCTCGTACCTCTCCACCAACACTGTCGTGGTTGGCAGCATTGTCTGCACGAGCTCTTGAGGGGGGCGACACCAAAGTCTGGTCGGAGTTCAGGGGGATGAGGGTGGATGAGGGTGGACGAGCGTCAACCATAATGATCAGAGGCGGCTAATTATTGGGAATGCAGGCAGGCAGTAATGTGGATGTACCTTGGACATCTTGCGCACACGAATTTAGAAATGAAATATAGATCGGATTACATATACAAGTTAAGGAATCTTTCTTCACTCAATAAGAATTCCTCTATTTGATTTTATTCGAAAAGTGTAGTGCAATAGTGATAAATACCGACGTAGACATGTATTTATTATTGGCAGTCCACCATCTGAAATGAAATAACAAATTCTTTTTTTTTTTCTATTCTTTTTCTTTTTCCTCTTTTCTTTTCTTTTCTTTCTCTTCATTCTTCTCTTATTTGCTCTCCCTTATTCTCAGTTTTATCTTTTCCCCTTGAAATGTTTCTTATTTCTCCATCCCTGAAAGTTCTCCTTTATGTTAAAAATCGAATTGAAATAGAAAATTGAAATAATTCATTATTGGGTTTGAATCTATGCGAATGAACCACTATTCAAACAGGCAGAATCTGGCACTCTTGTCGTTTCCCAGAGGTCGTCGCTATCACTCAGCAGGAGTATGCCATTGGTGTGCCGGATATACTTCAGATCATGATACGTACCGGCATTGGGTCAATATTGGTCCTTGGAAGATATGAAGACACTTTAACTGGCGAACTTTCTTTTGCTAGTACTTCTCACAGCACGAGAACATGCTGTGCCACACAGAGTACGTACTACTAGCGTCCATGCAGTACATGACCTCACGGAAGTATGCAAAAAATAGCGAAAATAAGCAAAAGAAAGGCCCCAACCCGGATTCGAACCGGGGACCACTTGCAACTTTGAGTGAGTGATTCCCAAAGCAAGTATCATGCCACTAGACCATTAGGGCAAATAATGAAGCAATCCACAGTGTGGATATCATATCTAGATGTCTGGATGTGAAGTATTAAGGCCTATATCAAATTATCGTGAGTTGTGGGTTTGTGGGCTGAGCCCGGGCGTATAGTGGGACTAGCGGCCTGGGCTACTAGCTCGAGAGCGGCATATCATATGCATAATCATTATTTTGGATTGGGGCATCCAAAAAAGTCCGGCATAAAGATGTTTTGTGTTCGGGAGTCATGGTGGACTTATAGTTGTATAGTCGAGGCAGTTTCCCGGCAGCCCGAGAAACTGCCCGACATAGTCCCTTGCTACGAACATGTGACAATGACGGATGCAAGCATGCGCTTTGAATCAAGAATACTTGGAGTTCAAAGCATCCGAGTATGGCTGTATGGATATGCATAGTAACCTATATTATATGGCGCCATGTATACTGCGTACTCGCGACTGTCTCCTTTTTTTGTTGTCATGTTGTCCGCTTACTTCAATCCTGCTCAAGTCCAGCGTTGCTAGTTGATTTCGATGTCCCATCCTTGGTCCTCAATGAAGTGCTGGTATCAATATGATCAGACACCCGAGTATAGTTTCACTCCTATATCGTCTCCATCGTCTATGATAGGTCTTCATGACACATTGCGGTAGAAGTCATCACCCAATTGAACAATTCAATAACTGACATTCGAGCCGAGATTTGTTTCGTACCAGGATGCGGGAGGTGTTCGTCCCTTTCACAGGACCCACGAGTGTTTACACCGATGTTCCGAACTTCCTATCCACAACCGTTCCCGTTTCCCTCATGTCAAAAGCTAAGCGAGCAGAAAGCTTAATTGATCTGAAGTAAAAGAATCCTGGCTGTATATTAATTACCAAAAGTCTTAATATGATTCATGACTGAATTGTGATGGTAACGGTCTGGGGGCGGGGCTGACTCGATTTGGTAGCGCGCCGCCCGTGCTCGCGAATTGGCAGCCGTAATGAGAACCGCTTGGAATGGAATCGGCACTGCTTGGCCCACGTACTACTATGTACCTGCCCACTCTTGCACTCGCACCGCGGAACAATAACGACAGCGACGATGCCGCAGCGATTCCGACTGCCATCGCGATCGTCAATTTGGCCTTGGGAAACGGTTAGGATAGAGATCAACAAGAATTCACCCCTGAGGCTCATGTCAATGTCTATAAGAGCTGGTGTTGTCAGGCACCGTGAAACATTTTGAAAGCGCCGTCGATCGCAACAACAACATTTGAAGCTCTAGTACAGCAACGCAACGACAATATTGAAGCAAGTCAAGATGCACGCCTACAAGCTCCTCATCCCGGCCCTGGCGGCGCTTGCAACCGCCTCTCCCGCACACCGAGCAATGCCGCGCGCCACCAACTCCACTGGCGTCAATCCCGCACTTTACGATGGAGAGTGCTTCTACCCAACGCCGGACCCCAACTTTCCTGATGATTTGTCCGAGTATCTGGGCCGATGGTATCAGGTAGCCGGCACTTTTGCCCTCTTCACTGCCGGCTGCCAATGCACTACCGCCGATTACGCCCTCAACGACGACGGCACCGTCAGCGTCCACAATGCATGCAGCCTCCTCGGCTTCATCCCCAACTCGATTGACGGAGCCGCGAGCATCGTGGACAGCAAGTACGGAAGCAAGGGCGTCTTCCAAGTCAGCTTCCCCTCGGTCCCCGGCGGCGGTGTTGTCTGCCCAGGCCCCAACTACATTGTGCAGAGTGAGTGCCCCCATGCAATTCCAAATATCACAATATGAAAAGGAGAGTCATGTCTAACGCCCTTTGATTAGAGTACGATCCCAACTACGCCATCGTCCAGGCTCCCTCTTGGGACGACCTATTCATCTTGAGCAGAGTGCAAACCCCATCTGAGGAAGATCTCGATGTAAGTTTTGGCACTGGAGACAATGTTGTGTATCAAGAGACATGCTGACAATCTGAATAGGCGTGGATTGCCGAGGCTGCTGTTCTGGGCACAGATGCTTCCGCGATCAACAAGATCATTCAGAACAACTGCACCTCGTCGTAAGGGGCTGAAGCGACGAGCTGTATACCTACTTTAATAATAGTAAAATGTGATGGTAATGATGCTCATAACGGACCATCGGCAACATCACAATGATAATGATTCACAAAGTATTTCTCGACCAGACGAATGTGTGGAGAAATTATCTCGCCATTGCTTTCAATTCTTTTCCATTGGTCCTTTGGTGACAGTGTTTGATTCGAGTGCGGGTGATGCGGTTTGAAAAAGGGAAAGGAAAACTCGATGGAATAAATCGCCTAGCCCACTGTGGATGCTCTTAGCTTCATCATATTTGCGCTGGAGGCCCCCCGAATGCCGAACAGAGGGGCTCTCGACCCTTGACCGGGTGGTCTAGCGTCGATATCTCAACCACGATCATTGTCTTGCAGCCAAAAAGCCAGTGACTGCTACTGCCCGATGGCTAAAGACCATAATCTGCACACCTGCAGGTGCTCACTCACACAAAGCAGGCGGTGTGCAATGTCTTCTTTAGCATGCATAGTGCAAACCACTACGGGAGGGAGCAATGAACATGTGCGTTGGAACAATCCACTGTAAGATGCAACAATCACTGTCTCTTGCCTGACAAACGAAAGAGCAGAAGCAGTAATTGTAAAGGACAAATACTAAAACACGCCACGGATGAGTGTCTTTCATTTGTGGGCAATCATAAAACGTCAAGATTTAGAGATGGACTTCAGATCTTAGTGGGGAGCACTACCACAACGATGACGAAAGGTCTAGGCCTAGCCTCCTAGGGAACTCGGGCAGTGGCTTTGTAGGAGATATGACATAGTTGCACTAGGCTCCCGCAGCTTGAGGCTGAAGTAGCAAATCAAGGAATCTGGGACTTTTTTCTCTCTGAATCAATCATCACACGTTTCGATATAATAGTTGAATCGCTAGGAAGCGCGACCAGGTGAATTTATTTTCTCTTGATATTTTTCAACTTACCTCGAGAACAAACATCTCAAGAGTGCTTCGCACCTGAGGTTACCAACTAGCCAAGAGCCTCACGAAACCCTGATCAACCACAAGCGCCAGCAACCGCTCCCCGCCCACCCGCTGGCTTGCGACCGACTCACTGACTGACTCTGTAACCCTCCGATCGCTCCACCGTAGCTGAACGTGCTGCTTCTTTTTCCCTCGAAACCTTGTACCATTTCCCCCAGACCAGCTACATTCAGTTGGTAGCCGCAAACCGAACGCACCGACCACGGCGGGACACTTTCCGAGCTACGAGGCACAGGCCCACCCGTCGTCATTTTCCCGCCCTCTGTCTATCCAGCCACCTCATCAGCTTTCCAAATCGTCTTCCTACCGGCACCCAAAACACCATTTTTGCGCACGCGACGAGAACTTCACTTACTTCTCACCAACGGCGCAAACTTATACGGCATCTTCTAGTTATATCATAAGCTTTTTCGCGAGCTTTTAGATCAACAACAGCAAAATGGCCCCTCCACCCTCTCCCAATCTGCCTCTGCAGGAGCGTATTCTGGCTTTGGCAAAGACCCTTCAATGTACGTATTTACTGATGCAATAACCTTGCTGGGTGATCTCCGTCCCGCACTCGAAGCGCATCGCTAACATACTGAAATCGCAGTCGGCTGGTTTACCGGGTATGTACATCCATTAACGGCGCCTCGAGCGCAGCGTTGAGACACGCAACTCGAGCCTTTCAACGCTCCGGGCTGGGACTCTGTGGCCTAATGCCCAACGGCGGTGACAAAGATGCAAGGCTAATACAAGCTCGATAGACACCTGGTCCTTCTCGTTTCCATCCTCCGCTACTCGCTCTCGTGGATGCGATTCAACTACTACTCGAAGACGGCGCAGACCTGCTACCGACTATCCTTCATCGCGGCCGCTGTAACTTACGGAATCGTCATTTACAAGACTTTCAGAGCACGACAGAAGGTTGGCGCAAAATACCCTACTGGCGCCATTGGTCTGCTTGCCGATGAGAACGTCCAGTACTTTGGTGAGTAGCTCGCACCACGACCCCTCATAGATTACACGCAAGCTGACCTATATTCCAGCCATGGCGCTCGTCTGGCTCTTCACTCCCCAGTACCCTCTTGCTCTGCTTCCCTACGGCATCTACTCCGTCTTCCACGTTGCCACCTACACCCGTGCCAATGTCATCCCCACCGTAGCACCCGCTCAGAGCTCTGGTGCAACTCCCGGGGCCAAGACCACCAGCCCCATCGCTGATGCTATTGGTAACTTCGTCAAGACCTACTACGACATGTCCATGTCCGTCGTCTCTGCCCTCGAGGTGCTGCTCTGGATTCGTCTTTTCGTCGCCGCTATTCTCTTCCAGCGTCGTTCGTGGATCCTGCTTGTGCTCTACACTGCTTTCGTTCGCGCTCGTTTCGCCCAGAGCTCTCACGTGCAGTCCACTGTTGGTCAGCTCAACGCTCGCATCGATGCTGCTGTTGGCCAGCAGGGTACTCCTCCTGCCTTGCGCCAGGCATGGGAGGGCGTCAAGTCCGGCGGTCGTCAGTTCCACGACGTCACCGACATCAGCAAGTACACCAACGGCGGTGCTGTACCCAAGAAGACGTCGTAAGCACTTCATTGGCTCGTCACGGGTAGTCATCTCATCCACAAGGTCTGGCGATTGTCACCACGCTACGTCTATGCATGTAGCAGCAGACTTCTGGACATTATGACGATTCCACAACAAATAAAAACCTTGCAGTCGGTCACGAGTGATCGCGAGTCACTGCAAGTGGCGGAGGATGAGAAATAGGCAATGGAGCAATGAGAAAAGAGATACAGGACTGAACGAGAGGTCGAGGTTCTATACGAGGACTCGGGTTTTGTAATGGCTTTCTTAGGAGTTGGTAGGCAAGCATTGCAGACTGAAGTTATGAGAGTGGTCCACAGTTTACTGCGGACGAGTATGGGTTATGAATAAGGCGTTGTCGCCATGAATACGGAATGTCAATATTTTGA